GCGACAGTGGGAAGTCACAGTCGGTAAATTGGAAGTAAGGTTATGTAATGGAAGTAGCGAATGTAGCGATTAGATTTTTATTTTTCTGATGAAATTTAGATGAAAATAGATTTTTTTCATTATCATTATTATTATCATTAGAGAAGTTTCTTTTTATGAGTATAGAGAGTATGTAGCTAAGTTAGAAAACGTAGTGATTTGAATAGAATTTTGAGAAACATGAGTAGACATTTTCTTTCTTTCTTTGAAAGTATAGTACAAGATAATTCAATTGTTGAACTATAAATTTAAGAAATATAGATATTTTTATTATATATAGAGACTTTATCTTGTAAAGAGAGGAGAATAGTGATAGAAAAAAGAAACCGTTGTAAAGTAAAATAAAAATAAAATATTGCGTAAATGTGAGAAAAATAATAATGCAGAGAAAAATATGAACGCAGAATAATTGAGCTTCGAGTTGAATCGCTCTGTTAAGAAGAGAGAAGTCTTTTCCTCGCAAAAATTATAAACGAAAATAGCGCGAGAGATTTTCGAGAATATTAATTTTATAAATATCATATGCTATTCAAGAGTCAACCTCCATCGTCCGATATCGACGAGTCTATCTTTGCTCCTCGCCGGGAGTAACGATTATTAATGACGCGAGACTCTCGTCGTCGTCGTCGTTGCAAGGAACCAATTGCATCTTACAATTAGATCATAGACGCGCGTAAACTTGGAACGATCGAATTGCGCCGCCTCGTTATGTACTCGATTAATCAACAGTTATAATTAAAATTTAATCGTACACGTAACACGACATAACACGTATACGTGGAAAGCGAGGTGTATGACCGATTTATTTATAAATACGGTATGACGAAACGTCGTTTAATTGCACGATGTAACGTTTTACATTCTTTGCATCGAATAAAAAAAAAACCTGCTCCTACGTGAACGTGTGCACCCGTGTCGCTTCTAAATACACTTTCACCCAAAGTTTTGCAACCACCCAACTCGTCCCCTCCCTCCGCGCTTTTCCTCGTCGAACGGATCGGATTAAACGGTCGCCGGATTGATTACGAAATAAAGTGTAATCAGAGGGAATGCTTGTTTTCTCTCAGGATTTTTTCCTTCCTTATTCCTGGCTCCCTGGTTTATTTTCGTGATTGCTTTAAGAGAAAGTTTTGAATGATCAACTCCACTTTCCCGAAAGACAGCTTTTTTTAAAAATATATTAATATATTAATATATTAATAATTATTTCTTTTTTTTTTTTTTGTAAAATTTTTAACTTTGGTAGATTGCGTAGAATTTCATAGCTAATGAATCTATTCTAAAATCCTTAATTTTTGAAAATGTTAACATTTTAGAAATTGAATAATTAGTCTCTGAATAAAGTCGATTCGTTTCAAGTTCTACGCGATTGATACGATCGATCGCATCGTCTCTCGCGACGAAATAGTCCACGAAGAGTCGTAAAAGACATTACAAGCATTATCTCGCGAGATGATAAATACCTCGTGAAAAGAAAATCTTATCGCACTTTGGTGTGGCCGAAAAGTGCTCGACGAGCTCGTGATCAGCCTCCCTCGTCATCAATCAAATCCTTCCTCAAGGTGAAAGCACCCCCTCCTTATCTTCCTCCTAGAAGCAACGAGCATCGTGGCAGATGGTTAAAATGGCGAAAAGTGGCACGCTGTGTAAACCCATTCGCCGCCGTTCGTTCCGTTCGACAAAGGGGGCGGTAAAAGTAAAACGCGTATTATCATTTTTCCACCCTTGACCAAAATCCCTGATCAATCCTCTCTCGCTCCTATCTCGTCCCTCTTTGCGGCCTCTCGGCCTCCGACAAAGAAATTCAGATGAAGGTCACTCTACCGATAGAAAGAGGCTCGTGTGTTGAAATAAGAGGCGAGAGAGAAAGAGAGAGGGACGTGCGACGAAACAAGAGTCGTCCATAAAGGGGTGGCTCTCACCCTCTCCTATTCCGCCTCGAACGGCGAATAAATTTCATTCAGGTGACATGCTCTCCTCGCCAAAAGAGAGAATGAGAGAGAGAGAGAGAGAGAGAGAGAGAGAGAGAGAGAGAGAGAGTCGCGCTTCGATACCGCGCTTGATTGCAAATTAGTTGATTTTATGCAACCGTGGAGCCCGATTAACATCCCGTCCCTTTCGAGTGGATCCCCTCCTCCCCTTTCCTCCTTTCTTCAATCGATTTACACGAGATGTTACTTTTTTCGAGGACTTTTCGAGTAGGAAACTGGAGTCAGATCGGAATGGGAGAAGGGAAGTTGATTCATTCTTTGCTAGGAGGGGGTGGAAAGGGGAGATAAATGGATGTGGAAAGTGCGCGCGCGAGTTCGAGCGCGATGAGAAAACGTTGAAAACAATTTGCTCGCGGGAGAGGCGAGAAGAAGCGGTTATATCTGTGTACATCGGGGAAAGTTGGCGGGTGTAAGAATGTGGTTCTCGATGTGCAGGCAACGTGGCGGAAGAGATACCTCTTTTTTTTTTTTTTTTTTTTTTTCCGAGTAACGTTATATGCCGAAGAGAACTCGAAGAGAACGGCGATAAAAAAAAAAAGTTCTTCGTTTCGAAACTTCTCTCCCTCTGGGTCAACGTCACGCCATTTTTTTCTCCTTCTCTCTCTCTCTCTCTCTCTCTCTCTCTCTCTCTCTCTGTCTCTCTTACGTTTTAAATATTGGAAAAGTAGGTTGTTCGTCGGGAGAATCGGACGGGAGAGACATCGATAACAGGGGATGATATCGCGATAGCGGGTTTTTAATTACATCGTTTCGAGCCGGTTCCACGGTTGCATCCAGATAAATGAATATTTATCAACCCCTCCTCCCTCCCAGCCGCATTCTGAAATCTAATCGTGGAAAGTGGGGGAATCTCGGTAACTTAACGCAACTATGTGTTTAGCCTGATGTTTACCAACTCCTTCTTCCTGGGTCCTTCAACTTTTCCTCGGCCTTCCATCGTTTCGCCACGTAATCGCGCGAATTATCGGCGTATCCGCGTTTCCCTGCCTCCGTTCCGCCCCCGCGCCCGACCATTTCGCATTTCGTTTCCTGGCGGAGGGAATCAGTTTGCACACGCGGTGGAATCAGCACGCGAAATCACAAACCGAATACTCGTCGTCTATAATTCACCGGATTTACTCCAGCGTGAAGCTGATCCTACCGGTCAGCGTTTTCTACCGCGAGCAAGGAAAAAAAGAAAAAAAAAAGGAAAGGAATAAATAAATAAGTAAACGAATTCATTCGTTCATTCGTTTTCCAGAAGGGAAACAAGATGAATTGGAATTTTTAAACCAACTTCAAAAAGTATATATATATATCGAGATATATCACTCTGTTACCTTCGCGGTTTCCGGTATAACAGCTCCATTCTTCTCCAAACTCTCGCGGATTTCCATTAAATAATCATTCGATCCTAATGCCGTCACCTCGACCAGGACCGACACCGTTCTCCTCTCTCTCTCTCTCTCTCTCTCTCCCTCTCTCCCTTTCCCTCTCCTTAATCCAGAGGCTGAAAGCACTCGAAACGCGCAAACAGAAGGAACCTGTACAACGGAGGCGAAGAAGAAACCCGTGGAGAAAGAAAAAGGGAGGGAGGAGAAAAAAAAAAAGATAAAAAGGAAGGAGAAGAAGAAGAAGAAAAAAAAAAGAGATTGAAGCCGAGCCGAGAAAGTAGAAGGAGACCGAGAGAGACGGGACAAAAGGGAAAGATGGAAAAGGAGAGGAAAAGAAACGAAGGCAAGAACGAGGGAGGGAGACTCCGCGAGGAGAGGGTTAGGCAAACGCGGATACGAGGGGTGTACGAGGAGAGAAGTGAAAAGGGAGGACAGAGAGAGAGAGAGAGAGAGAATCACGTGGGAAAGGGGAAAAGGCGAGATACGGGGAGAGATCAATACGAGGTCGCTAGGCAACGAGCCTCCGGCGATCTCAGTCCGGGTAGACAGGGTGCCGCCACCAACCCCTGAAGCCACCCACCACCAACCACCCTCCGAACCAACCGACCTGCCTCTGAATATACCCCGCTGCTCACCTCTCATCCCACTTGCTTCTCTCATCCCACCGTGTTTTTCATCCTATCCGCTCTCTCTCTCCTCCTCCTCCTCCTCCCTTCGTTTCTCTTACTCCCCCTCTCCCTCTCTCTCTCTCTCTCTCTCCCTCTTCCCGCGTCTTTACGTTTCTCTACGCGTTTGCCCCCACCTCCTCCCCCGCCGCCTCTCGTCCACGACCCATCCTATCTCCTGCGAACGTACGCCGCCTTCGAAATCTCCCCTGCACCTGGCTGCGAGCCTCTTGATACCGCTTCCAATATTTACGATAACCGTTTGCATAGGAATCTCGATTTTGCGGCGGATACGATTTTGTGGCTCGAGCCAGAGGAACGGAGAAGAGAGAACGGTGCCGTATCGGAAATCGGCGTCCACAGGTGGATGGATAAGCTCGGCTAGGTCTTCCTCCTCACCTGTGTCCCCTGCCTGCCATTTCTTTCTCCGCCCCCTCCTCCCTTCGCCGCTTCGCTTTGTATCGCGGCTAACATTCTTCCGTTACCCTCGGGCGACCGGCTTTTTTAGCCGAGGCTCGTTTGAAGATTTTCACAAAGACGTTGGACGGTTGATTGATCGTCAGACAAGAGGAGGATCCTCGAGCCTATGACCCGGATGTATAGACACCTGTTGTAGTGCCACTGCTACGTGCGAAACGGTCCTGGAACGTCGTTCCGTCTTTCGAGATCGACGAAAGTGCTTGCTTGCTTGCTTGTTCTCGTTGCCAGATTTTTACACAGAGGTTTCTTTAAACTTTAAAGAAATAGCATCGATTCTGAATCACGACGAAAGAAAAAAACAAATGTGAATGTGAAGTTTCGATTTTTAGTTATTTCTTTATTATATCTATGAGGCGGAATCCTCTCTCGTCGAGGAGTCGAATTAATCCTCGAACGAGCTAATTCTAACCGTCTAATATTGTAGACGAGGATGCTCGAGATTACACGATGCACAAGCGACAAGCGATAAAATAAACTCCTTATAGGGGATTTAATCGGACAATTGGCAGATCATGGCCGTGCCTCGAAGTATCCAGTGCTCCGGATCTCGATCCGTCGGCAGCCATATGGCGATTACAAAGTTGGTCGAATGGCCGGTAGTCGATAGAACGCCTCTTCTCTCCGTGGTTTTGTACACTGGACAGGTGTACGTGTGCCTTTCGCGTATATCCTCCTTCTTCATCGGTATTAGCCAAATCTGACCAAACAAATAAAACGGATTGCGCAAAGGGATAATATCTCATTCTTCTCAAATTAATCATTTTTAACTCTAACGATTAAATCTCTTATACGATAAAATTGCAAAGTATTCGAGATGGAATTGTTTCTGATCGAACTCTTATATACGATAAAATTGCAAAGTATTCGAGATGGAATTGTTCTGATCGAACTCTCCGATTAAATTTCTTATATGATATACGATAAAATTGCAAAGTATTCGAGATGGAATTGCTCTGATCGAACTCTCCGATTAAATCTCTTCGATAAAATTGCAAAGTATTCGAGATGGAATTGTTTCTGATCGAACTCTCCGATTAACTCTTATATACGATAAAATTGCAAAGTATTCGAGATGGAATTGTTTCTGACCGAACTTGCCTGAATCTTTATTAAGAGATAAAAGAGAATGGTGAAGAGTACTCACGTAAGGGACGTGGTCGTACAAAATTTTCGGGAACGATTCGTCGAGTCTCATCGTGTCCAAATTGAAACGGGCCCCGTCCAGGAACAAACCGTAAATGTAAACACCATCGTCCGGCGGTTTAGCGAATTCTTTTTCCTTCAGAGGTTCAAAATCGTAGACGAGGAGATCTATAGGTATCATATACTTCCTCGCGTAATTTTGACGCGCACCCGTGAGGAACGCCTGCGTGAAATAGAAACCGGAGATCCAAAATGTCGGTGGTTGCCCCTCTATGAACCATTTCTACAAGGAAAATCGAATAATATATTTCTTTTTTATATTTTTTATATTTTTTTATATTTATATATTTATATTTATATTATTATTATATTATTATATTATATATTTATATTATTATATTTATATTTATATTTTTTATATTTATATATTTTTTATTTTTTTTATATTTTTGAAAATTTTGAGGATTCGTTTAAATTATTTTCGTTATTAAGAGATTAGTCACGTTTCTTTTTTTTTTTTTTTTTTTTTTTTTTATAAATGATTGCGATTTTAATCTTCTTTCGTAATTAATTTTCAAAGTCACTTTAAATTGTTAAAACCCAGGGATCTGATCAGAGTTTTCTTCTAACGTTGGAATTTATATTTTCTTCTTCTTAATTTTTATTAAAGCGGAATGTATAATAAGGAAAACAATCAAGAGCTTGAAGAGCTCGTTCGATCGAAAGCAAATGGCGCGCAGATACCTGGAGGAAAGCGAGCCTATCCAAGAAATCTTGAATATAACTTCCAAGCGGCTTCAACGACGGATAAGAATGATGCATCCACATCTTTGGTATCTTTCCGGTGATTATCGATAGATAGACCTCCTCGAGATCCGGTGTCATGATCACCAGACCTTAGACCAAGTTCAGCAGTCATGAAAAATCGCTAGACACACACACACGTACATAAACCTATCCTGTCCCAACCCTTACACCCGTTTACCTTTGATCGCCTTCTGAACGTTTATGAGGCTACTCCTGATCGTTTGCAGAAGCTTGTTGAATCTTCCCATTTCCTGTACCAGCACCGTGTTCATGCTTTGCTCGTACAACGTCGGATATCTCTCGAGCGCAACGTCTAGATCGAAGTCGTCGGGCAACTTTGACAGAATATCGGACGCTATACCGTAGACGATGTCGTCGGGTGATATTCCTTCCTCGTCTACATCCGTTTCCGTGGTGTCCTAATTGGAGGACGGTGGAACACACAGGGCCTCGTTAGTAGTCCGCATGATTCGTCACGCGGAATACGTTTAAGGAATCCCATTATATTTTGCGAAACAACAACAACAACAACCCCCCCCCCGTACAACCCTTAATTATCTCGAAATTAATGAACGAAGATAATGATAACGAACACGCTTTCTCCGATCGTGTTTCTTATATTTAATCCACGCGTTTCCTTCGTGATTTAAAAACCGAGGATATGAAAACTTTGTTAAAGCGAAAGAATCGAATTTGTCGAAATTAAAAATTACCTTTATTCTTCCTCTTAAACTCCTCGGCTAGCGATAGCGATATAAATGATACATGTATAAATGATACACAATATTGTGTAAAGATTGGAAAAAGATTGATCTGAAAAATTTACTTACCTTGATATCCTGAATAATCTAATGAAACACGATACAACGATAAAACGGGTGTTATCATCGGGTTGAGTATTGGATTGCGATTGATACTCACCTGCGTTGCCAATATCGAGCTGAACATCAAGCTGGTCTCCTGTTGATCCTTAATGATATCTGCGTTGTCGTGCATCCCAAAGACGCATGGTGTAGTGATCATTGGAAAAGATTTGATATACTCGAGAAATTTCTCGTATTCATAGACATCGGGTATGTAATAAATACCACTCTCGTCGAATTGATATTCCTTCACCTCGATAACCTCCACGCGATAATATCTATCGAGGATCGTGTTCAACGTTCTCCTGTCCCATTCGTCCGTCACTCGACCGCCATAATTACACTCGCCTGTGCAAGGGAAATCGATCGTTCACGAGCTTATTTCAAGTCAAGTTCGCAAGTCAAAACGAAAATACTTTCGATAAATTAATTTTTAAACTTAAAAGATTTTCACAACACTTGAAAGACAGACATACGATACCGGTCAAATATTTCAACGCGGTAAATTGAACGTCATCGTATTGATCCAGCAAGATTTTCAACTGCAAAGCGCTGATCCGCAAATCGGTCTCGTTGAATTCGTACTGATTGTTCCAACCGATCGGTCCAAATTTCCTTCGCTCTTGAACGATCGCGTGGAAGAAACTGAGCGAGAAAAGTAGCTTCTTGAACACCTCGGATTGCTTGCACGTCTCGAAGAAATCCTCGTCGCATATCGGGTCCTTGGGGAAGGAAAAAAACTTGGAGTCGTAATGCACCTGACGGATGGGTAATTTAACTTGATCTTAATCGACATCTCAATCCCCCTCTCCCGTTACCAGTAAGAAAGATCTGATTATATTCGCTCTCAACCCTTTGGGCGGCTCGTTCGTCATTTTGACGCCATTTTGAAGAATGCTGACCGGGAAATATTCGACCGGATAACTGGTCAGCCACAAACGAAAGTCCGGATGCACGGTCTCTCGGGTGAAAGTTTCGCAGATCTGGAAAGAATGGAAAAGAAAAAAAGAAACCAGTTCCATTCCCTCTCGTCCATTATTATTATTATGGTGTTATTGAAACGGTCGATCCGAACGGTTCACCGACACACCCTTTCCAACATTGGCATGAAACTTTTGGCAAGGTGACAATTCTGGAGGACGACCCAGGTGCCGTTCTTCACCCCCTCGTCTATAAGATTCTCGGCAATAACTTCTTGCCCTTGACCCAAAGAAAGGGAGAAGAGACGGTTGGTGCCGAAACCCTGGTCGTCCGCGAATTTCAGTAGAATCGCCATGGGATCGGCGCCAGGCGTCAACACGAATATGAGGGGAATACAGGAATGCGAATCGGCGAACGACGAGATCAGGTCGAAGGGCGGCGGCTCGATGTACTGAGATCCCAGTTGCTCTATCAGAAATTAAATCGTTCGTTTTATAATTCCAGTTTCCATTACTTGAATAATATCGTATATGGGTCATATCTCGTTTTATTCGCCCGTTTTTTTTTCTCTCTCTCTCTCTCCTCGTACTCATAGAGAGATATTTCGATCGTAATTTCTTTTTTCTTATTTTCTCTTTTCATACGAATTAAACGCTCTAATCCTTTTCTCTTTTTTTTTTGAAAAAATCGTGTCACGAACACGTCTCGCGATTTTTCCTTTTCTTCTTTCTTTCTTTACCTTGCACGAATTGCTGAACGGCCGGCACCATTTTGTCAGGACGAATGCATCGCAGTATGACCATTCTCTCGAAACGGGTGATATTGTGATAAGGCTTGGGGAATGTCAAAGTGTGAGGCTCCATATGATCGAATATGACTTTCCACTCGTCCAGACGAAGCTCGAAGTTGGATTTGAATTCCTTGAAAAGGGAAAAAATCGAAGAAACGGAAATTTGAGTAGGAAAAAAATTTGTCCCGTATTTGGATCGTACCTCGAAACCTGGAACACTGTCCAAACGGCACAACTCGTCCCATGATTTCCTTGGTAGCCAAGTCGTGGGATTTACGAAAGGATTCTCAAGGCCAACGCCTCCGGTCAACAGAAACATCCATTGGGGTATCGAGATTTTCCCCTGCTTGTACAGCAAGTTTACCAAAAGGAGGAGGGAGAATAAAAGCTTGTCCTTCTCGAACAACGACCGACATATGTTCACGTAGAGGGAGTACGTGAAGTGTTTCGTGAGATCCTTGAGCCGTAGCGGTATGTCTTCCACGCGTTCCGTGTTGTCGATCGAGTTCTTGAAGAGATTCACGAACCAGACCAACGAGTATTGATACATTGGATCGATGTTCGCCAGAACGGCTGAGAGGAAGAGGATTCGAGATGATTGATTTTTCGAATTTTCTCTCGAATAAGAAAAAAATGAGAAGCAATCTACCGATCGTGAAGAAGAGGACGGTGCTGTGGATAGCTATGGGCGTGTACTGCAATCTCGCGGCGTCGATAGATTTTTCCGTGATCTCGGCCACTCTCTGCTTCGCTTCGATCTCGTTGGCAAGATTTTTCGACGAACTCAGTATGCTGATGGCCGTTTCATCCTCGAGGATATTCCCCTCCACGGTTTGCAGAACCCTGAGAATCTCGTCCTCGATCTCCTTCAATTTTCTGCGAGAGAGAATCGTTGACGGAAGTTGAGGGGAAAAAGAGAAAACGCGTAGAAGAGGGTCAACGTACTTCTTGTTGGCCGCTCCTTGGATGATCAATAGATTCTTCTCGGCCTCCAAGTCCGGCCTCTCTTTGGCAACCACGATCCCGAGAAGCTGATCCTCGAGGCCTATCGGTGTGATCATGAAGTTCAACAGCGTTACCTTCACCACCACCTCTGGTAGGTAATGGGGATTACGCAATTTAGTCGTCATGTAAAATCTAATAAAAGAGAAAAAAGTATATAGCAAAGTAAAGATTTTTCATTACGTGTATATATACGTGTATAAGAATCGTAGAAAAGGAAAAAGAAATACCTAAAATTGTGAGAGTATTCGATAATAGAATCTCCGACCTTGATACACTCCGCGCCAGCAGATTTAAACGTTTGTTTCATCAAAAGAGGTTCGAGAGCGGGATCGATCTCCTCGCCGATATTCTCCAACAAGACCGGCTGACCGAACTGGATAGCGTTCTCCAAAACTCTCATGTAATCTTCCTGGGTCAATCTGATCACGTGGATGTTATTATCTTTCTCCATATTCTTCACCCATTTGTTGGCCTGGCTCTGGGGATCGATCATCAACGGCCACCGGCGAGAATTCGTTACGATTATCGCGTTGTCGATGGAGAATAGATCGGTGGGCAGTCCGAAGATGATCCAGGATCGTATCAGAACGGAATCGCCCAGTATAGGAGCGAGCTCGTAATCCTTGGTGCAGATCACCTCCAAATCAGTGCAAATCTGCACCCAATTTTCGATTTGTTGCTGCCTGAACTGGGTGGTGAACACCCCTAGGTAGGCCACGATCCCGGAACCGATCAGAATGTCGCCGGTCAGGGTGTAATAACGCTCGCCCAATTGCTTGGCCGTATCGGACCATCTGGTGTACTCCCCCCCCAGCCGGCCGATCAGCTCCCTCGCCCTTCTCAATCTCGCCTCGCACACGTTCACCTCGTCCGTCATCGCCTGATACTCGGCCCTGCGTATCTTCAACAATTCCTCAACCTTCGCCAACCTGTCCCTCACCTCTTGAAGCTGAGCCCTCTTCAACGTCAATTGGTCCATCGCCTCCTTGTAGTCGGCCTCCGCTATGGCCAGAGCTCTCCTCTTGGGCGCAACTATCTTCGCCACTTTGTCGTACTCGGACAAAGCGAACACCCATTTGCACAGGCCCTCGCAAGCGGTCGACACTTGCCTTATCCTTTCCGGGTCGAAGTTCGGATTCGTTAATATCGTGGTGCGAATTTTCGTCATGATTCTCTCGGGTATGTTGTCCTTGTCGAAGTTGATCAGGGAATCGAGGAACTTTATGTCCGTCAATATGCGAAGCGACGGCTTCCAATAATCTTCCACCACGTCCCCCTCGGGCGTTTTAACCTTCTCCGGTTTCACGTCCTGGCGTGATGAGATGAGATGGCTTTTTCGTTTCATTCTTTCTTAGTTAGCCAGCAAATTTATAAATTTGGGCGCGAGTTTTCGATCGAGTTTAGACTTACCTTTAGAATGCAAATCGCCTCCATCACCAGTCGAACACCGGCCGGGGGACGTTTCATGGATTTCACTATTTGAATATCCTGAGGAGTAAGGGTTTGCAAGGCCGCGTTCGCCGCGTTTAATATAGGCATCACTTGCTGCAGATCCGCGTCGCATTCCGCGCGTATGGCGTCCGCCTCGCTCGCAACTTCCTACGGGTTCGATTATTTTTCTTGTACCTCGAGATAACGGAAAAGAAGGAAGGGAAGAGAGAAAGAAAAGCAGTCGCGTTCGTTCTTCCTGGAATTTTTTCACGCCTTCGAATTTTGATCCATCGATGAGGTGATGGAACAAGTTCGAAGGAGAAAATTAGGAAACGCGAGAAGAGAGGGGAGGAATAAGCATTCTAAGTAAAAATCTAGGGATGTTAACACCTTACCATGGCTGCCTCCTCGTCGCTCTTCACAATTAGCTCCAGGGCAGCGACTTCGTTGCTCTCCCTCTCAACGTCGAGAAGCATGGCTTCGACGTCCCTAGCTGCGATAAGAAGCTTCGGTTGCAGCGCGATTAAAATCTCTTGCATCTTCTCCACTTGCTTGTGGGTACTGTCCAACCTTTCCAACCCCGCCTCGTACCTCTTTTTACCGTCCAAAGCCTCCTTCCTCTTCTTCGCGAGCAAATCCTTGAAAGTGTTGATGAGCTCGAGGTACGAGGTCGGGGTTACGTAGTTATACCGTCTCGCCTTCCTCAGAAAGTCTTTGGTCAAGTTCTGGGTGGACGTGTGGAAGAATTGGCACATCTCGATGCACGCGGCCCTCTCCTTCTCGGTGAGATCGATCTCGTCGAGGAATTTGGTTGCCACGGCTAGCAGGGCGTCCTCCGGCCAGGCTTGCATCCAGTCGATCGTGCAACAACTGACCAGGGCCGGGAATTTTCGAATTCTCGCCCGGAAATTCTCGCCGATCGGCGACATGCTCACTATCATGTGCAACTGTTCGCGTACGGTTTGCACGAAGAAATTGAACAAAGCCACGGGGCTTCCATCGGTCTGCACCGCTCTGTCCCTCTGCCTATCGATCACTCGCATCTTCTCGCATATCTCGGACAGCTCGTCCACGGCGAATATGTTCGGGACCTCGCCCGAGTTCAATATATTGCTTATATCCTCGAGGAAGATCTCCTCTTTGATCTGGGTGTCCATGAAGAGGAACGCCGTGTGGAGCTCTGAGAACGCGCTCTTCCTAAGGATATCCTTCACGTCCTCGTGCCACTCGTAAATACCGTACACCTGGGATATCTCCACTTGGAATAATTCGTAATCCGAGATGTGGGCCGCCAATTTCGTCATCGATTGACGCCCTGAACCGCCCACGCCGATCAACAGCGCGTGGCCCCGGGGTTGCATCATTATACGACTGATCTTCGACAGATGTTCGATGGCGAATCTGGAACACGGCAAATGGAGCGATTATTTCGTCGCTTTTGAATCGACGAGATTGGTAGAATATGGATGGAAACCTGAACAGGACGAGATTCATCGGTGTCCTAGAGATCGAATTATATTCCTCGAGATATTCCTCGGCAACCAGGGTAAGGAAATCCAAATCTTTCACCTCCACGTACAATTTTTTATCAGCGAAAGGATCGTGGAAGTCGCAGTAAATCAAATTTCGAAGTTCTATGTACGTCACCTATATAATTCGAGGAAGAAAAAGAGCTAATAATTTAATTATTTTGGACAGAGAAAAAAAAAAAAAACGTACCATCTTATTCGTTCTTAAATCTTGGAACAAGTTATCCAATTCGTCGTCCATGTACAGCTTCATGGTTTTCCTTATCTGTTCGACGAGCCATTTAATGTCATTGTCGTCCACCAATCGATCACCGTAAACCCGTAACACCTCGTGTACCCATTGTCGTTTCAAACTCGTCTTGAAAACGTTGAAGAAACGGTTAAAGAAACGTTGCATCGTTATATCGTTCAAGATCAACGAAAATTTTAAAAGTTACTCAAAGGTTCGTATCGAACACCATTTATATATCCATTTACATCCTAACTCATTCTTAATAGAGATACATTTCTTTTTTTACATCCTTACGATATACGATATACTCTCGAATGTATTATCGAATTTGAGATTTTGTTGCATACGTACGGGATCGGGGACGGTTTCAGGGGTGCAAAGTAGCACTCCTTGGATCACCCTCGAGAAGTCTCGCAAGTTGAACAAATAATGGCATTTGGCCGGTGTCGGTAAAAGGTGTAACCTCGACTCTTTGAAAACGTCCAGCGTGCCGCTCACGAAGTAATCGATACTGGGGAAGAAAAAGTCTTGAAACTCCCTTGTGACGAAGTACCAATTTACTATGGTTGTGAAAATGGTGATGAGAACGTCGTCGGAGAACTCTGATATTCCCAGGGTGACGAAATGCCTTTTGAATCGTGGCGTGCAATCCAATCCAGTTGCCGGCGGCCCCATCGCGCAAACCAGCTGTACGTCCACCAAGTGTATGGGCGATATCTCCTTTAGATCGTACCACGTCCAGTGATCCAGCCATTGCCTCAACAATTCTATAGGCGGCTGGGAACCGAATTCCTCTTTCTGCGGCATCGAGACGTCGTCCACGAAAACTATCCAATACTTCCCCGGCGGGGCTCCGTACAACCCCTTCTTTCGCCTATCCAATTTGTTCATGATGATGTCCTGGGTCTGGTTGGCGGTTGTTTGAGCGGAGAATATGACGAAAAGAGGTTTGTACGTGTCCGGGTCGTTCTTCTTCAACAAAAATTCCATTATGTAGGAGGATTTGCCGGTGCCGGTCGGGCCAACCAACAGCAGAGGTTTTTGATGGCGGATCAACAGTCGAAACAAATGGAAGTAACGAATGGTCTCGATCGTCGGGACGATTATCTGGTTGACCGGTATGTCTTTAGATATCGGGGGGGTGTCTTGGAGATCGTCCGTCCACGGCCTCCACTTCCCCCTACCCTCTTTCACGAACTTGTAATCGTACACCAAACCCGTCATCGGCAAGTTGACCACGTACGGTTTCGACGGATTGATGATCTCCGCGATATTGAAACGTTCTTTGACGTCGCTCGGAAACTCTCGATCCGTTAACGCTCTAAAGAGATCGCTGAACCATTCGCGATAATCCGTCGTTATAGTGCCGCCCATCGCCCAGATGCAGGAGAAGAAGAAGCAACCCTGAAAAAAAAGGGGGCAATCAATTTTCGTTTCGATTTATAAGAAGGAAGAGATATATATATATATGTATATAGGAATATTTACCTCCACTTGTGCCCTCATATCTAGATCCGTCATCATGTGGCAATACTTCTCGTCGTAGTAATCGTCGACGAAACAATCGAACAGGTAAGTTGTTGATTTAACCAGATTGGCATCGGGCATCGTTATTATCTCCTGAAGAAGAAGGTATGAGGAAAGTACGACATGACAACGACGAATCTCAATATTCACGCATCGTCTCTAACCTTGCACACGCGAACTAATTGCAAAAGGCACGGGCAAAATCTCGAATACATTTCGTGCAAATGATTTTTAAGATGATCGGTGAAGGAGGGTGGTAAAGTGTTCAGCCAAGAAATCAAGATTGGCATCCAACCTAAACTGACCGGCTCCATGTAAATCATCCCGCATCTGGACACCGTGGCAGGTGACGCGACCTGTCGATTATCCTCAACAATGGCAAACCATCTTGGAATAAAAAAAAAAAAAAAAAAAAAAGAAATGGAAAATTTCGACTCGGTTACCTCCAAGTCCATGGGCTCGAAAATTAAGTTGGTGGTGGGCGCGAGTTGGATAATTTCCCCGGAGGTGAGGCAAAGCTTTTTATTGTCGTCCAACACGGTGTTCATATTCTCGATCCAGAGGGCGTCGACCGGGCCGTCAAACACCAACCATTTCCTATTCAGATTGGTGGAAGTGGCGAAAGCCCTGTAACTGACAGCGAGGACACCGTCGGTCCATTCGTGCGAGGCCGGGTCGAACTGGCCGTATAATTGGCCCATCGTGATCGCCTTCGGATTGATAACCGTTATCTCGACCCGGTGCTCGTTCATCAGCTTACGATCCTCCAACAATCCAAGAGCGCCCGCGAGCATCCTGTAAGCCGAGGTTTTCCCGCCGAAAGGCAAACCGACTATCATGAAACCGTGCCTGACTATCATCATCTCGTATATCTGGTGTATCTTTTCCAGGAAGAAACTGGTGCATTGAATGTTGGCAGCGGCGCACGCGTCCAGCGTGCAAGCGTTCAAGTGGGTATAATCCGGAGGCGGGAGGATGACACCGGGGAACAAGTCGGACGCGATACCCTCGAAAAGCGGTAGATCGTGAACCAAGAATTTCGGCAGATTCACGTCCATTATGCTTCTCAGCATCAGGATATCCTCCGATTCCTCGGGATATCTGAGCTTCAAGTTGCCGGCAGCGATCAGCACGGACTTCACAGCCCTCATACCGTAATCGTAATGATGCTGGCTGCTCAACTGCTCGGAGCAAAGCCTGTAAGCTGTGACGATTTTAACCGCCAAAGGCCTGCCGTTGTAGAATCCGTACGAGTAGAGAGTGTTCTCGGCGATCAACGCGTAATCGGGCACCATCATGGTAACAGGGCGGAACAACGCCTTCAAATTGTCCGGTAACTCGGATCTACCCGCGTAACCGGGATTCATGGTGATGAAGATGGCGCAGGTCGGGTCTAAGAAGATCTCTGTACCCTCGAAAATGATTTTCTCCGCCCCGCTTAATATGGCCCGTTGAATCGTTAGGATTTGTTGGGCGACCACCGACAAAACTTCCAAGTCGATACGATTGAATTCGTCGAAGCAAGACCAAGCGCCGCAAGATGCCAATCCTTTGAAGAATTTTCCCAAGGCGAGATAATCCAAACCCTCGGAACAATTGAAAACGACGCATTGCTTGGCAACAGCTTTCGCCAGATCCTTCGTCGTTTCCGTTTTGCCGGTTCCGGCCGGACCCTCCGGTGCACCGCCCAGGTGAAGGTGCAGGGCACCGAACAACGTTCGATAGCATCGATCTGTCAAAGGGGTGATCACTAATCTCGACGAATTGCCGAGATATTCGTAGCCGTAACGTAGCTTTGAATTTATCATGTAAGCCCACATGTTGTCTTCCTGAAAAAGAAAAAAAAAAATATTCTCGCGTTGATCGTCTTATAATCGCGAAAAAATCGTTGGTAAAATCGTTTTTTAATTGTGAAACGTGAAAATTAGCGATAGTGACCAGCCAATAGTAGCGCAAGTGGCACAACCATTTAAAGTCTGTGTTCTTCACCACGTTCTCTTTGCACAATCCCGCGAGAGTGTCTTTCCCGTGGACGTCCAACGTGACCAAGGCTTCTGCAATTATAACGTAATCGTGTTATACTAACGTTGTACTAATACGGTCAGAGTTTTTAAAAGAAATTTATTAAGGAAAAGAAATTTGATGTCGAGAGCCACACCTAGAGTGATGCGATTCTGTTTCGTCAATGTGCCTCTGATCAGCAATATGATCTCGTTCAATTCCCTCTGACACTGCTCCAAGTATCTGTTCAGACCTTCTATACCGAGCAACATGGATTGCTCTATGCGTAGAGTCCAGTACGTTTTACCGACGCAGAGTATCGTTTGTCCCGGCCAATCCAAAACCCACAACCTCCTCTCTTTCGTGGGATACGCCTGTATAGCTAGATACACTTCGTTCCTTACGCTCAGTCTCATAATTCTTTCCAACTCGATCAGCCATTTCTCTACTTGTCCTCTCGTAGCCAGTGTGGATATCGCCTCTATCAGGTCTACTTCTTCACCCTCCGTTGACCGCATAGCGAGCACTTCGAGATCTTCGTCGAACCTCAACGAATGTATTCCCTCGAAACACTTTCTCAAGTGTGGTTGCACGCTAAAGGATATAATGCAATTCGAGCGATTTTCTTACTTATTATTATTTTCTTTCTTATGGGAATATTCCATCGGAAGGTTCGATATTTTTTTTCCTCGGGGCGAAAAGTTATAAAAGTGAATTTTCATTACCGAGTCGGATCCTTCGTCTCGGACAAAATTTCCAACAACTCGTCGTTGGACAGGAAGAAGAATCTCGGGAAGAAGAGACGTTTCCTCTCCAGATATTCGTTCAAACCCTTTTGGATATCCTCTAACAATCCGTAACTCTTCTTTAACCGCTCTAACATCTTATCGATCTCGATGACCGCGAAAACCCTAGAATCAGCGTAAACAGTCTTCATAATGTCGCGCCAAGTTTTATCCACAGCGGAGAATTTTCTCCCCTCCTCTGGCATCTGTTGTTGAATATCCGGGGATGTAAAGATCGGCTCCAAGTACATCCAGATTGCTTGGACACGGAGCCATTGGTCCAAAATATCTTGCAGCAAATGCAACTTATACTCCCATTTCCTACGGTTCACAACACGGATCGGATTTGTTAAATTCTAGTGATTTCAAATATAACGCGAAGGAGAATGACAACCGATGTTATAAAAATATTTTACACGTGGATTATCCATACAAGATTTTATCGCATCGAATGATCGTATAAAATATTTATATCAGTCGTCATTCCCAATTTCCCCTTGATTAATCTTCTCACAGTATTCTTTCTTCGAACGGTTTTATGTTTGGCGAATTCTTTATGGTAACTGTTCTAACGATGTGATCGTCCAGAAGAAGTTGTATATCGTCGACACCAGCGATGACGTAGGTACCAGTGTCCTTGAAAGGATTAACGGTGAAATATAAATCGGCCCAATCCTTCTCCATCTTATCCATAGCCTTCTCCAACGTGGCCTCCTTCGAGGCATTATCCGAGATGCTCTCGAACTGACTGACGAGATAGAGTAGTCCCATGTCGATGATCTTCGCCAAGGTTAAATCGATATCGACCTTTATAGGAATATTTATGATCGCCGAAATTTGTTCCCAATGACGTTCCTTCAACGCCGGATTGCCGAGCGTGTAAATGATCGGCATTTGTTCCCTGAAATCTTCTATTTTATCCCGTACACCTGCCGCCAACTGTCTCAAAGCTGGCTCCTGAAAGCTTCTCTCCAATTTGTAGATCAATCTGTTCCATTAAAGCGTGAAATCAGTAGGGGAAATATTCCCATTTCTATAATAAAAGATCGTAATATTAAAAATATATCGACCTGAATGCTACTCCTACGTCGTTATCAATTTCCTCGGGATAATATGTACCGACCATCGAGTATAACCATTTATCGTGCTTAGTCAAAAAATCGCAAATCACGTCAAAGAGTTGCTTGTAGGGTTTTAATTGATCAGCGATCTGTTTGCGACGCGGATATTGCGTTATTTCCCAACCAAACGCAGCTTCCTCTTCGTTAAACTTATCGATCTTATCCATAGCAGCGATCAAACGATTTTCCAAAACTTGTGCCTTTTTCTGATATTTGTAAACCTCCGCGATATCCCCCCAATTTTCGATCTCATCCACTTGTTTCGCGCAAGATTCCAATTCCTCTTCAAATTTAATGTACCTAACTATTAAAAAGAAGAGAAAGAATCGTCAAATTTATACGCATTTCTCTTCTCGTTTCTTTTCAAATCTCTTCAAATCTAGCACACCTCTTAATGCCTGTTGAAATTCTAACGTCTTATATCCAACGATGGATTCGTTTTCTTCCAAAATATGAGGTATCTTATGGTACCACTGAAACGTAATGTTGTTGATATATATCTCGTTATCCGTAATACAGTGATAATTGGACAATATCAGGATATGTTCGATTATTTCGCGGAGTTTGTCTTCCAATTTTTTTAAAGTGACTTCTAAAATCATCTTAATAAAATTTTTAAGCACTATCAATTCGGCTGTATTATTAGGCGTGCTCAAAGCACGGTCAGATATCATTTGATATTGTTCTGCAACTCTAAATCGTTATTTTATTTAATTTATTTATTTAGTTTTATTTTATTTAATTTACCGTCATTAATTATACAATGAATAAATTTTATTGACGTTGTGATATTTTTATTTTTTTTTTTTTGTAATTGTAATCTTGTAATTCGATACTTACTCCTTGGCGATATTTTGGTATCTCTCGATCAACGAGTTAATGAGAAGAATTCTTATATTATTAACATACTCGACAATCGTCTCGATGAAAATTTTTCGAGATACCTTAAACAATCCCGTAAATGCTGTCTTTTGAATTCTCATGGGAAAATTTAACATAAGAATATGATACTTTTTTATAACCTCGTTATATTCATCTAATTGTTTCATCTCATCTTTTATAAATATTTCCATTAAATTATATTCATACTCGCTGTACAAATATTCGTATCTGTAATAAATTTAATAATATATATATAAAAATTATGAATCAAATATATATCAATAATAATAAAAATTGATCCTTACTTTTGTAATTTTAACAATAACTTTTCTGGAATGCATTTTTCTCGATCGATCAAATCAATGATCTTGTTCTGTTGTTCTTCTATCATAGATTTCTCTATGTATGGCTATATATATATATATATATATATATAGAAAAGAATAATTTTAATACAATATTTGAATAATAAATGTAATAATGAAGATTTCATACCTCTAAAAAACCTTCTTCACCAGACCAATCCACGTAAAGCTCAGTTTCTAATTTCTTGAAGAATCTAACACCTGCGCATATTTCGTTTAATATATTACATAAAATGTTCTTAAAATCTTCAAAAGATGGACTAAAAATAAGCTGTTTCGAACTGACAATTATATTTATATTGAATTCACATTTAATTGGCTGCAAATAATGTATAATTATTGTATAGTTCGTTTTATCTCGTTTTATCATTAAATAGTTCACCTGGCCATGAATAATAAAATTTATAAAATCTTTCAAGGTAGATATACACATTGTCAAAAGCTGTTGTTCCATTATTTTGGCAATGCATTCGTAGAATTTTTTGAATCGTACACGTTTCAATGGACTGGGAATCAAACTTTTCTTATTATTCTGAATTGAGAAATAAATCATTACAAATTTTATGAGAATAATATATAATCAAAAATAATAATTGTTAAAATTTTACCGCAAGAAATATATTCTGGATTCCAGCGTACCAAACATCCTTTAATATATTTCTATTTTTTATGATTTCTTTATCAATTATTTTTTTAAATTCCATCAAATCCCAACTGTCTTCATGCTCGATGATTGTATTTAAATCGATCAATCGAAAGTTGCTGAAAGAAATTTATTTCCATTTCAAAATGATAATAGGAAAAATGAATAATTTCTTACCTGAAATCGCGAATCCAGAAATCTAAAGTCATCTTCATACAAGGATTTATCAGAAATAATTGATCTTGTAAATATTCACAGAGTTTTTGAACATTAATTGGTGATCGAGTTAAAAAATATATCATTCTAAGCAAATTTTTTCTAGTTTCTTCCTGTTAAATCAAAAAATATTTTTATGAAATAAATATATACGCGCATACGTATATAACATATACGTAACATATATAACATATACGTAAATAACAATATAAAATTTAGAAGAACTTTAGTTATAAAAAATATAATTAAATCGAAAATAAAATAAAATAATTTTAATCGAACCTCTAGTAAATAATATTCCATGGGATCTTGAAGTGCGTATTCCACTATCGCTTTCTTCATAATCCTTGTATACATATCTTTAATTTCAATTAACAAATCTTCCATGTAATAATTGAATCGATCTCTCAAATAGTATGGAACTAAACCTAATATCTTCTCTATAGTGTCATCTTGAATTTTCGTGTGAAAAGTATTAACGCCATTGTAAATATAATTATAATATCGGTTTATATCTTGATCATTATTTAAATCTATATCTATTTCTGGTAATTCAGTTTTAACGATTAAACTGACCATCAATCTATAAATAATAATAATCAATTTAAACTTTAGTTTAATATTTTATTGTAACATTTTCCTTTGCGAGAAAAATAATAAAAAATTAACATAAAGATCAAATAATTAACCGACCTTCGAAAATTTTCTATTTTTAATCGTTTTCTTGTATAAGTTTGTTCGAATTTGTTATCTAATCGTTTCTTTTTTTGTTTACATCTATTACATTTCATTAATTCAGGTGGTAAAGTAAATAATGGCTCAATTTTATCAATTACTTTTGAAATTTTTTGCACATCTTTAACGCGTTTTTTTTTAAACACCGGATGCGAAATACCCTCGCACGTTTCCACATCGATACATTCGCATTCCATGCTGAAGCTATTTGTTATGAGAGACAAAAAGAATTGAAAAAGATAGTATGATATTAAAAATAAAAATTATATATAAAATTATGTTCATCTAATGTATCATTTTAAAATTTCAACATAAATAGATCAAAGATTGAATATAATTACTATGAAACGTTAAAAAAAAATTAATATATATTAATTACTACCTTGCAATTGAATTTCGTATTATTACAGATGGCGCCACTTTCGGAATCAATTTTGATAGTTGAATTATATTTTCATCTTTAAATCGTATACGAAGTAAGTATATTACAAAATAATATTTTTTTCAAATTATTAAAACCTCCAATAATAATGATACAATATGATATTTTAAAACAAAATGCTTAATAATCTTCTTTTATACATTTATCTTTAGATTACAAATAGGCAATACTCTTGACTGCAATTGACTGCAGTTTCTAGGCAACGAAATTGATTGGTTTCTATAGAATTTATAAAAAAATTTTAAATGAAAATATTTTTTAAAATTATATATGATTATTTATAATATTTTTGCATTTGTAATAAAATATAAATCAAAATAAAATTGAAACATTTTTAGGTTAGGTCTCATTAATGTTAAATTTTTTTCAATTTTTTTCTACATAAAATAACACAAGTGACATGTTTCAGATGATTTCACATCAATTTTTTCGTTCGATACATACAAATTATGTATTATGTTATTCATCAAAAAAAACATTATTAAGCAAACTGCGTAAGAAAACTGGATATGCATTTGTAAATTGTAAAAAGGCACTAGAGCTACATAACAATAATTTTGAAAAGGTAAAATATTTAACAAACTATAACAGGAGCATTGTTAATTTTTTAAATGTTATAGGCTGAAGAATGGTTAAATGAACAGGCTCAATCTCAAGGTTGGAATAAAGCATTGAAATTAAAATCCAGAATAACTTCTGAGGGATTAATAGCAATGATCACTAACAAAAGTCATGGAGCACTTGTTGAGATAAATTGCGAAACAGACTTTGTAGCAAGGAATAAAAAATTCCATGATCTAGCACAGATTATACTTACCACTGTGTTAAAATATGGAATGACAGTTGATCAAGATTCATTGGTCAAAAAAACTATGTTATGTACAGAATCGATAAATAAACTATGCGCTGAAGATGGCAAAAGTTTAAGTGATCATTCTGCTTTAGCCATTGGGATTATAGGAGAAAACATCAATATAAGACGTGCGATATGTATGAGTGTGCAACCAGGTGTACATCTATATGGTTGTACGCATCCTACTCCTGTAAATCCAGTACCATCATCTTTTGGAAGATATGGAGCATTACTGGCTTTAAAATCTGATAAAAAAAAGGAAATGCTGGGAATGCAACTTTGTCAACATGTTATTGGTAATTATATTTATTATTAAGATAATTTATATTTTTTTTTTTTTTATGAAAAAATATGTTTATAATAATATGTGTTTTAATTTAGGTATGAATCCAATAAAAGTTGGTGATCCAAAAATTGATGAACCTTTAGACAATATAGATGATGAAACTATTATGCTGTTTCAAGAATTTTTGTTTGATCCTGCAGTCTCTATACAGCAGTTAGTACAAAATGAACAAATTGAAATCTTGGATTTTGTACGTTTTGAAATGGGTGAAACATTTGAAAATAGACAGTCATTAGATTCTATAGAAACTTGTGGTTAAAATGAATAATATTCGTTTAATATATTTAATGTATATCTTCATTTATAAATTTTGTATATAAATATTATATTTTTATTTTAAAAAATATATAAATATCTTATTCGTATTATTATGTAAGTAAAATACCAAAATTATTGCATTACATAAATTATTATAAATATAAATATATATGAAACAGTTGAGAAATTATATATAAATTCCATAAAATAAAAATTAATTAATAAAATTATTATTCAATATATATAGAGAGAAAATATATACACTGATAGAAAAATATAATCAATTTAAAGTAATAGTATGAACGATTAAAACAGCGGTTCAAATGTAAAGAATTTTATATATGAAATTGTAGATAATATTCAAATTATTATTCTTCTTCCTTTTCTATATTTATTGCACACATATTAGATGATTTTAATTTATTCTTTCTTCGCATAAGCTTTACAGATTTCCAAAGCCACATTCGTGAATCTTTCTTCCAATAACGAGCAATATCTTCTGGCGAATGCATAACACCCTAAAATTCACATCTGTATCGCTAATTTTGGCATAATTTTATAAATAAATGTTAAAGTCTCGACGTCATACTTGAAAATTCAAAATGTCAGAATGTTGAACATTTTTTCTATAAGGCAACATATCTCTAGCATTCAAGCCGAACAAATCTTGATCAGTATCATCAGACGGCTCAGTTTGCGCATCACTTGTTCGACGTAGCGGTATCGTATCATTTCTAGATTCAATTTCTGCCTCTAATTCTAGACGCTCGAGAGCCGATGTAAAACTTCTTGACTCTTTACAGCTGCCGAAATTCGCCTAATTCCAAAACTTTTAATTTTCATTCAAAAACTAATAATTTATATTCCGTTATAAATAAATATTTCAACAATGAATAAACTGTGTAAACCTGTACTCCTTGAGAGCAAACATTACATCCTAATGCCACTGATAAACATATATCGCTCATAGTTTTCGACAAAAAATTTCTCTCGTCCCATGCAAAATTTTCAACTACTCATAAAAGAAAGGACGCGATTTATTATCGATGGAACTGAAGGATTCACGATATACGAGAAACAGTCACAAACCGCTGGAGTGGTCGGACTCGTCATTTCTCCAGTCCATCAGCTTCTTACCACGTCATATAAAATAAACTTCAAAAATTTCTCGTAGCCCTGTTAAAATTGGCTGACAGACGATCCCATTTCTGTCCACACATAGAAAAACAACAGTTTGAACAAAATTTCACATGATTATTCATGCAACTTCAATGAATTAAGCGACGATGAATTATATTATAATAAATTTTTTCATTAATTGATATAATGAATTATAATTTAAATTATTATTTGTAAGTTTAAAAAAAAAAGATGTAAAATTTAATTTTTTTTAATAAATAATTAATATACGTAAAAATATAAAAAATATAACAATCATGTTTTTTTCAGACATAATCTTAATCTTCCATAAAACAAGAGAAAAGTATAATCGGAATTTTCTCCGTTATTTGAATTAAGATCAATTAGAAAAAAAAAAATTAAAACAGGAAATCTTCAGCATATCCAGAATGATATTAGAAAAATACAACACAGGTACGCTACGAATGAGATGTGTGTGCCATAGAACCGATGCCCCCATGGTTGAAACATATCCACCAAGTACCCGTTGGTCACGGCTGGCCGGTCGAGGTTCCGGGCCGACTTCCGGACGAGTCCGCACCGGTACGGTTTCTTTTTAGTGAGAAACGCATGGTATCAGTTGTATTCACGTACAGTTAGACGGTGTTACCGCGCAGCAAACGCCTTCTCTCCTACTTCTTCGCGCGTACCGCCACAAATATACATTCCTTTAAATGACGTGAGAGAAAAACAAGGAAAGAAGAACGATGGATTTCTCTAGACGGGTGAGTATGTAGAGAAACGTAATTATATGAAACCAAAGCTGCGAGAATAATCAGGACAATCGTGATATGGAACGATAAGAATAATTGACCATTCATTCATTATCGTTTCTTTCTTTGCCAAGGAAATAAACTTTATTCAGAAACGATATTTCATAAAACGATATTTCTTAATCTTTGTAAAATAATATGTTATCTTTAAGCTATTAATTATACATAATGATAATATAGAATATTATATATTTCTTTTTTTATTCTTACAATTCTTTCAATTCTTTCTATGTAAATTATTATTCTATTTAATAAATATAGTATTGTATTTTATAATTTCACAAATTAGTAATGAAATAAAAAAGAAAAAAAAAGATTATTTTTAAATTTCGCAAAACATCATTAATTTAAACATTTGGAAATTTTCATTTCATCGCGTAAAAACTGCGAGAAATCAACTATACAGGTTGGTGGGCGTTTAGCAAGTATAGTCACCACTTCCTGTCATAAATAATCGTCGCAAACGAAGCTCAAACAACATATGTACATGCGTACTGTTCATAATATACGTATGTATGGGCATGAATGAGCGCGGAGATGCATTTGTAAAGACAATAGCATACCTCTGTATGTGGAGAGCGCTGCACTTTGCATTACCTACACAGATTCACGCATTAACGGCAATCAGCGGAAAGTCGGAGGTAACATCGTGTTACCTCATCGATGTTGAAATATATTACACCTAAGAAATGACAATATATATATTATGGAAAACAAAAATAATACAATTAGCAGATCGGTTCTTAGGAAAAATCAGTGATATTAAAATGAAACAATTACATGAAAAAATATGTAAAAAAAAAAAATAAATAAATAAATCAAAATAATTGTAACAAATGAAAAAACTTTGTAGATTAATTCAATATAAAATTTTATAATTCAAAAATATTTTTAAGAAAGTGAATTACTAATACTTTATTATCAATTTATTACTGAAATTGAAGAACATAGATATTCTTTCAATATGAATTCTGCTATTTATGTAATTTTTTTCGGAAACAATATATTTCTCTGTAATACTTATTCGTACTTATGTCTTGCTTTACTAAAAATATCATTTATATGAAAAAAATCTGGCAATTAATTTTTGAAAACAGATAATTATTTTATAAATTATACTACTTTACATTATTCAATTGTGATTATAAATACAAAGTAGCTTACATAGTAATATATACGAACATACACACGAATCACCTGCGATTAAATCCTTCCGAGGACTTCGCTCTCGTGAGTTCTCATACCCCAGTTTTCTGCCAGCAATCGTCAGTACGAGCACTGATCGCGTTTCTCTGTTGCAAAATTCATGCACGATTCTCAATTTAGTTAAAAAGTGTTTGACCCATTTAAAATATATAATAATAATTTACGGAAAGTCGAAAAAGTAGTATAAAAAATAAAATCGATCGAAAATTGAAAAATCGATAGTGACAAATGTCAGAACTATCAGGAAAAGTTGAAGATCCGGTGTGTAATTAAAGATAAAGAATAGAAATAATCGTAAAAAAAATGTGAAGAAAAAAAGAATATAACAATAATGCATTATTTTCATAATTTAAATGCTTTAGACTAAATGATATTTTAAAAATATAAAAAAATGAAAAAGAAATGAAAATCGATATTACTATAGAGAATTATAGAGAATTATAGTATAGTCTTGAGAATTATCGAAATTATAATTATAATATATTCACTGATTAATTTTTCGTATCATTTATTTCTAATTTTTGTTTATTGATATTTATATTGATATCAATTTAATATCATGAACATTATTTATTTTATTGTAATATTTCTGAAATTAATATTAGAAATTAATAATTATTTGCGATAATAATATAATATAATTACTGAACTGTTATAAATATATATTACATACATCTCGACATAAAATAAAATAAAATTTACGAATTTATTCGAATAAAAAAGGAATTTACTGTAAATTATTCAAATAAAATTTAGAAAATAAAAAAAACTGTTTTTTAAACATCAGATTTCAATGGTGTGCTTCAGGATGATAGAAGCTACCGTTCCGATGATTCTAACGGTGAAATCTTTAAGAATGTTCCAAAGAACAGCAGCACGTTTCGCATTTGGAAAATCGAGGTAACATAGAAAGAAAAAATAATATAATTTATTATATTTTGGTATATTAGAAAAAGATATATACATATATATAAGCTATTGATTTTAAATCGAATATCTGAATTATTTCTGAATTATTAATATCAAGAAAAAAAAATAACGAAATAATTTGTAAAAAAAAAAAAATATAATGATAAAAATATAATGATAAAAAAATTATCAAAATAATCTTCATATCATCTTTATGATATTATTTTATCACTAAATGCATGTTTCAAAACCATTGAAATTTTTTTTTTCACTTCTAATACTAATAAAAATATTCAATTTAAAATTAACATTCTGTAGAGTTATCTTGTTTTGAATTAGAATGTTTTTCTCGAAAAACACAAAGAGTAAAAGTATAAAATAAAATCAACAAATTTAATATCCATGCAACAGGGCTTACGAATCACAGCCGTTACAGGAAATAATATGGGATATTTTCTTTCGGAATTGGCATATATTATTTACGCAGTATCGCCAAAAGACGGTCCACTACCTTATCCTGGAATGCCGGTATGATTATTTCTCTATTATTATTTTTTTTTTCTTTATACAATAATATTATATAAATATTACCATTTTAAAAAGAAAAAATTTTTCTTCAAATAAATTAAATTAATATATTTTTAATTATAAAGTATATTTTTATATCATTTAAATAGAGCAAGGAATTAAAATCAACTGCAACAGTCCGTGTAATTCATTTTTGGATCGGATCTGCATGCGATTCAACTATTTCTGGAGCAGCCGCCCTTCGAGCAGCCGAATTGGACTCACAAGTATCTGCCACAATTCTATCGAGAGAGGCACAAGGACGAGAAAGTCCTAGATTTCTGGCTTATTTTCGCCAATATCTTATTATCGAAAATTTTCATTTCGAAACACCATCATGTAGATTGCATAGAGTAACTGGTATAACAATTCCTATCTTAACAGAACTTGAGAAAGTCCATTGGGATTATTTCAGTTCAAGAGATGTTATCATTGTGGACGTTTTATCACAGTACGTAAAAAATTGAAAATTTTCTATAATAATTTTATTATCAATCATTTTTATCATGGTATAATAATAATATAAAAATAATAAAATACAGGAATATTGTATTCCTTTGGTTGGGATCATCATCGGATCCATTGCATAAACGACATGCAGTCAATATCCTAGAAATGAGAAAAAAAAATAATAATGGTCGTATCATCATTGTTGATGATGGTTATGAACAGACTCTATTAGAAGAAGATAGACAATTATTTGCTAATATTTTAGATCCTTCTACAAGAGTTGTTAAACCTGATCGCCTTTATCGAGTCAATATGCCAAGTCCAATCAAGCTATACAAATGCAGTGAACAATCTGGTAAATACAAAGTCGCGGAATTGAAATCTGGACCGATTCTTCGATCAGATCTCACATCAGAAGCCGTTTATTTGATTGATCGAGGTGAAGCTGGTGTTTGGGCCTGGGTAGGAAGTAATGTGAATGCTCGAGAAAAATTAGAAACGATCCGCAATGCACGTGGATTTGGAAAGAAAAAAAATTATAGTAATGGTATATTAGTTGGAAGAGCGCTTGAAACTTATGAACCAACAGAAATGAAGGTTCTTGTTAGAGGATGGAGCTCGACAAAAATAAGACCGCTTACTTTACCACCTAATTTTGATCCTGATTATATGAACGAAAGACCTAAAATGGCAACTGCTTGTCAATTAGTAGATGATGGATCTGGTGAAAGAACTCTTTGGAGAGTAACTCATAAGGAAGGAATGATTCAGATAGACGATAAAGGAATATACTATGCAGAAGCTTGTTACGTAATGTGTTACAAATATGGACAAGGACGTAGGAGTAGAACAATCGTATGTTAAAAATGTATTTCCATTATTATATTATATTTAATTATTAAATTTGAAATGATATAATACTACAGATTTATTGTTGGGAAGGAGTTCATTCTATAAATGCAGATCGAGAAGCCGTTTTAGAAGTAGCTTGTCATTTAGCAGAAAATACTGCTGGACAGCTAGTAAAAGCATATCAAGGAAGAGAACCACCTCATTTATTACAAATTTATGATGGAAAATTAAAAATACTAGCTGGAAGGCATCGTGATTTTCGTAAGTAATAAAATAAATAAATTACAATTTTGTTCTAATTGAATTTTCCCTAATGTAACATTTATTTCTTAGCTCCAGAAAAATATCTTGTTAGAGTGTTTGGATCTACTTCATATACATCAAAAGCAGTTGAGCGTCCTCTTAGATCTAGTAGCCTTGATTCTAGCGGAGTTTTTATTCTGTTTTCTAATTCACCTGTAGTATGGTGTGGTGGTAAAAGTACTGGCGATGCTAGACAAGCATCTAGACGCCTTGCACCCAGAAATGCACCTCTGATAACTGAAAATAATGAAAATAATGATTTTTGGGCAGAACTTGGAGGTTAAAATAAAAGATCTTAAACACATCTTAAACAATTAGAAATTGTTTTAATATATTTTTATATTTATTTTTTTAATTTCTTTTAAAAATTTTATTTTTAAGGTAAAGGCACTTACGGTACAGAAGTTATTAATGACGAAGAAGAACTTGAAAAACATTTATACCAATGTTTAACAGACGCTGAAACATTTGTTGGTGAAGAAGTTCTCGGATTTGGTCAATGTAGTCTTCTTCCAGAAGCTGTTTGGTTGTTAGATGCTGGAAATGTAATATGGATTTGGATTGGAAAATCTTCTATTTCTAAATCATTAAAAGAATATGTACATGATGCAATGGTATTTTTGTTCACTCATCCTGCTGGTCGAGATCGAAATACAATAATTTCTATAATCAAACAAGGTATGGTAAATTTATTTATAAAATGAAACAATTTACTTTAGAAAAACAAATTTTATTTCATTTTTTTAGGATTGGAACCTTCAACATTTATTGGACTATTCAATAATTGGAATTATAATTTATTAAGAGAATACAAATCATTTGAAATATTTTGCACACTCTTACAAGATAAAAAATTATTACCGAAAATACAAACATTAACAAAATCATCGAGCGACTTTGATAATTATGTGAAGTATCCTCTTTCTATCCTGAAAGATGATCCGGAAAATTTACCATCTGGTGTTGATGTTGCTCATAAAGAAATGCATCTTACTTTCGATAATTTTATTGCAATTTTTAAAATGGAACCAAATGAATTTATAAAACTTCCTACTTGGAAAAGACAAAGACTAAAACAATCGGCAGGACTTTTTTAAAATTTCGTATTCTAATTTTTATTATGATTTTGTACCATAATTAATATAAAGTCAAAATAAAAAAAAATACTCCTTATATATATTTCTGATGTTTGAAATTAAAATTTTATCAATTTAAAAAATATACAATTTCATATTTAAGTATTTTGATTAAGACTTTTTTATTGAAAATTCATATATATCCAAATGTAAATTTAACATTGTTTGATATACATTTTAAGATGAAGTATCCATTGGTTCTACTTCAATTCTACGCACAATTTCCCCTTCGATAATTATAGGATGAACTGTTTTATTAAGTACTGCAGTAGTACCACGCTTATATCGATACGATATATTTCGCTGTCCTTTAACATTAGCAACATCATAAGGTCGTAAATAATCAACAGAACCTTTACGTATAACACACAAATCTACATTAGACCCAGAAGCTAAATCATTAAATACACCAGCACGAATAGCATCTGCTACCAATTCTTTAGCCTCCTCTTCCTAGAAATATTTTAAAATTAAATATAAACTTATACATTATAAATATATAAAAACATATAAAACATTCTTACTGTCATATCAGGTTTCCATCTACTTTCAAACACAGCCATTGCAGCTAATGATCCTGTACCCATGCTAGTATACATATGTCTATCTGAAGATCCATGAGGATAAATACAATATAAATGTGGTCCATCTAAATCAACACCTCCTAATATTAAAGCTGCTCCAATATGACCTTGATAACGAAATAATAATTGCTTTATCATAGCATTTGCAGTACAAACTGGTACCATACGATTAGTATTTAAACGATGTAATTCTAATTGACTGGATATCATTTGAGTTGTCATTTCAGTATCAGCAGCAGTTCCAGCACCACAACAACTTAAAAAATAATTATTAGATTATTCTATTAATTATCAAATTAGAATAATAAATAATATTATTTATATATATAGAATAATTAAAAATATTAATTTTTTAAAATATACTCACTACATATTTTCAGCAAGATAATGGATTTTACTACAATTTTTATCAGCTACTATAGTATTTTCTGTTGATCTTGTATCACCACCAAGAACAATCCCATCTTTATAAACAACCCCAGCAATTGTTGTTCCTGTTTTAACAGCTTTAGGTGCTTGAAATCCTTTCTTTATCAGAAAATTATTTCTAAAAGAAATATATTTAAATGAATTCCATAGCATTTCATATTTTTAGAAAACTTGTAAAATTAATTAAAAAAAAAAAAAATATTATTAAATAATGACGCAGCAATATTAACCTATGAGGTTATATGCATCAAAAATTACTTTTTACTTTTTTATTTTTATGCAAATATTAAAAATTTTATTAATATTGTAATTTTAATAAAATAGATTACCGTTGACAAAGATCAAAAGAAAATCCGGGCGCAGGAATTTCAGGTACAAGTACCGAAGACATGATATTCCAAAAACTTAAACTTCTAACACCATTAAAAGAAACGGAATAATGAAAAGCATTTCGTAAATGTTGACATTTACCAGTAGATGGCAGTTTTGAGGAAAAACAATACTCATACTATATTTTTATATATATTCTTCTATTTTGTACATGTAATTTTTTTTATACAATTAAGTTATTATATCAATAAATATAATTAATAATTATTAAATTTATTAAAATATAAGAAAATGTTCATGAAATAAAATTTAAAACAAAAATGTAAGTTATTTAATTGTAAAAATTTAAAAAGATGCAACATTATGAGAAAATTAAAAACATATAAATTATCATATTTTTACATCAATAGTGTACAACATACAAATTATTTTAAACATATTAATTATAATATAAAAATATAATATAAAATTACATGCTACAATTTTGACAACCTATTTTGAAATATTCACTACTTGTTAAGTAAATGCAATATATTTTTTTAAGATTTATAAAAAATATAAAAAGACACCTAATTGTTTAAATAATATCTATAAACAAGTAATATCATTAATGATTTCTGCCATCATATTTTTATCTTGTAATGTTGCATCTAATTCTTCTTGATCCCATTCCAAATTTATTTTTGCCAAACGAGATTCTTTTTTTTTTATTAATTTTAAGATACCTCTGGTTTCTATCAATGAACATAAATTATAAAATTCAGATGCATCAACAGCGTGAATATTCCGTTTCTTACATACTTTTTTGTATACTTCATGCAACTGAAATATAATTATCACAATATTAAAATTTCTGATCAAATAATCATTTAAATTATATTATACTTACTCTTCCTACTGTTATATCTTTATTTCGCCCTTTATTTAAAATAAGCAAGAGGGAACATAATAATAATTTTTGTTGTAAAGGAAATGTACTTTCTTCTTTTTCAATATTTTGAGATCCACCATAAACACCATTTAAGACTGTGATAACATCTTTCAAATCTACTGGTTGATCTATTGTAGTCTGTTGCTTTTTAGTCATATTTATCTCTAAAAAAATTTTTTTATAAAAAAAAAATTAATTTTGTTTTTTTGTAAAAAATAGCATTTTATTTTTTTATTTTTATTTCACTTCTGTACATACCATTATATGGTTGTAAAATTTGTGCTAATTTATGAGATTCAGTAAGCTCTATTACTCTTCTACTGATATCTAATGCTCTTCTAATATCACCAGAAACAGCAGCAACTTTCCCAGATAACATATGTATTGCAGTTTTAGTGAATAAATCAGATGCTTTTGCTTCATTTAATCTTTCACATATTATATTATATATTTCTTGTTTTGTATATGGTGAAAAATGAATCAATGTTGGCTTTAATTCACATCTTGTTTGTAATCTAGGTAATATTCTATCTGTTAAGTCTAAAGCATTGGCAATACCAATTAAAATTAATTTTGAATTATTTATTGATGGCCATTCAAAAATAGAATATAAAACAGATTGTTTTTTACTTTCTAATTGATCTATTTCATCTAAAATTAGTAGCAACATTTTATGACTTGAAATTAAATATTTTTCAATAACTACTTTACTGTTTCTTCCAGATTTTGATATAGATAAACCTAATTCTTGACTAATTTTTATATAAATTGTAGCAGCAGATTTCATAGTTGTACAATTAATATAAACTATATTAAATTTTGATTTGAATTCAACTTTTGATATGAGCTTTGAAAGACATGCTGTTTTTCCAGTACCAGGTGGTCCTGATACATACAAAGAACCTGATGTTTCATTTTTCAAATGTTTTTCTATAAATTCTTCTAACTTTCGTAATTCATTTTCTCTGCCAGGCAAATTTTGAGGTACTGAACTATGTAAAGCTTTACGAGCTTTACGATATATTTCTGATCCAAATAATCTTTTAGGACATAATTTTTCCTCCTTATTAGAAGAAGATATCAAATTTAATTTATCAAAAAGAGTAGAAGGTGTAGATGGAGATGTTAATGAAAATGATTTATCCACTCTTCTTTGTTTTGGAGGAGTAGAACCATTACTTTCTGAGGAAATATATTAAAAAATATATCATTTCTAATTTTATAAAATATATAATTATTAAAAATATTTAAAATATTTAAAAAATATTTATATAAAATTCATTTTTTTTTTTTACATACCATCAGATTCAGTTGATTTTTTTATACATTGAGGAGTTTGTATACTGATTGTATTATCATGGACATTTATATTATTCTTTATTATATTTTCTATATCTGAATCTAAATCTGACTCTGATTCACTACTACTTAAAGTAATAACTTTTCTCACAGTTGGTGTATATTTATAAGAAGAATCTCTAATGGTTGCATTAGTAAAATCTTCTTTCATTACAGTATGTTTATTTCCATAAAACGAACATTTCTTTCGTACATTAAATGAAATTGTTGTTTGTATACTTGTCATTTTTAGCTATTTAAATTTCTGACATAAAATTTTCACACAATTTTTTTTTCTGTAACACTAACACTGTTTAATATAAAATATTTAACATTTTTTTCTTATTATTCCTTAACCTTTTAAAAAGAAAAATAATTTTCTCAAAATTTGAATTAAATTCACATTCATTAATATTATTTTGTTAATTTCAATCCATAAAATAAATTTTTAAATTAAATATTTTATTAATTTATTAATAAAGCACTTCCAAAACTTTTAAATACTAATATTGTAGAATTAGTGCATCCTCAAGTTTTTTGCAGAAAAATACTTTAAACGCGGGAAAATAAAGATATATAAAAAGGAAACGGATAAACGTACATTCCCGCGTAAAAACAAATATTTAAAAATACAAAATATTATTTTTAAAAAATATATATAAGAAAAATATTATATTTATATAAATTTTAAGCTTAAATTAATTAAATGAAATAGTGATAATATATATATTTATAAAATTGTTTATTTTAATTTATATTTTATTTCATATAAAATATCTGTACAAAGTTTCTTAGCCCTCTAGAGGCAAATATAGAAACTAAAGAATATAATGTTTCCATGATCTAAAGAAGCAAATGTTCCTCTTCCATACTGGCATTAAAGCGTAAAAGAAGTTGTTCGCATTCCATGAAAATCAAGAAATTCTAGATTAATCTAGAAATTTTAAAGCTATAAAATGAGAGCAAAGGTAAGATGATATTAATATTTTCTATTAATTTTAATATTTTTTCTAATAAATTTATGATTACATATTTTTGAAATCTTAAAATTTATTTTTTCCAAATTATCATTATACTATATTTATTAATATAGCATGTTATATTATTATTTAATAAATTTTCAAAATATATTTATAATGTAAAAAAGAAAAAAATTAATAAAATAAATAAGATATATATGTATAATTAGAAAATTTTCAATTTTCAGTGGCGAAAAAAGAGAATGCGCAGGCTAAAACGTAAAAGGAGGAAGATGCGTGCAAGGTCTAAATAAATTTTATACATAACCTCCGTAAGTATATATAATTTTAAAAATATTATTAATAAACATGAATTTATTTAAAAAAAAAATTCCATGTTTCATGCATAAATATCTATATTTTATTTCATGTGACATAAAATTTTTTTTTAAATAAATTTTAATTTTTGTTTCAGTTATAAGAGTAACATCAACCAGATTGGCATGAAAGAATTGTACTAATTGAATTATCGATACAAATAATTTTTGTTATTCAAAAATTCATTTGTGTATATTTCTTGTACAATTTAATAAAATAATGGTTTTAATAATTTTCGTTTTAATAAAAATCTTTTTTTTTTAACCTTATCTTTTTTCAAATAAGTAAATTAGTAATGATTAAATATAAAATTTATGATGTACATGTACTTGAAGTCCAGTAACCTAATTTTATACGTACAAACTAACATGCGGACTCTATTATCAAATTTTTTACGAACAAAAAAATTATTTTATGAATATTCCAAGTTTTGTGCAAATAATATAATATGTTCTCAAGTAAGACAAATAACAAAGTTTTCAAATAATAGTCAAAAACAATTTAACAGTGATAAAAATGTAGAAAGTGATTCACATAACCTAATCGGCTCAATTAGTACTACTCATAAAATTTTTGAAGATAAAAATGCAGAAATTATCTTTGATGTTAGTGAAAGACAAGAAAAAGTTAATTTAGAAGATTTAATAATTGAAGAACATCATGATCCTTATAAAGGAATAAATTTAGAACGTAAGTGAAAATGAATTTATATACATACGATTTTTTTAATATTTAATTACTTTTTTTTATGAAAGATTAATGAAATTATTTATCAGGTGGAAAAAATGGTGTTTTTGAAATAGAAGATCTTGTATCATTATTACAAAAAGATAATGTTAAAAATATTTTTGTTGCTTCAATGGCCTCTGAATTATCATATGCTGATTACATAGTTATAGTTACAGGTAGATCAAATAAGCATATGAAAGCACTTGCTTCTTTTGTTCGAAAAGTATATAAATTGAAAAAACATAAAACAGATATATTTGTAAAAATTGAAGGGAAAAATTCAAAAGATTGGATAGCTTTAGATCTAGGTATATTTTTTATTATGTTTCAAATAATTTATTATGTTCTTAAAATAATTAAATTAAATTATATTTCTTTTATCTTTAGGAAATATTATATTGCATATTTTTTCACATTCTGCTAGATTAGAATATGATTTAGAAACATTATGGTCAGTTGGACCTGATTATGATGATAAAAGTAAAAATACTACTGAAGATATTATGGAACAATATAATGAATTTTTATCTGATTTAGAACCAATTAAAAATAATAATGAAAAATGAATGGAAAATATGAAACATATAAAAAATGATAATTATAATAATTATATAAACGATATGTATTATATTATCTTTATATATTATTTTTACTAAATCATTAAATATTATTTGCTTTAAATCATTTTTTATTAAATTCCACATAAAAATAAAAATATATATAATTTAAAACATAGTTATCGTACAATAATTTTTAAAACGTATAGAAGATCAATGTCTCCTGCATAAGGCATTCCCCCTCTTCTTCCAACATTCCCTCTGCGCTTTATGATTATGCTTTCTGAAGTAATACACCATTCGCTACGCGTCCATATCTGAAGACGCTTTATCAGAAACTAGCGAGATGGAATCTTATCGAATTATCAACTTTATTTTATACGCTGACTAATAATTCCAGTATATACGCATTTATAGTTGCATGAAACAATTTGGTACATAGAATTTTAAATCTCGTATCGACAAATTGATTAGAATAATTTGTTCTATTTAACAAATATTATCGACATTTGTACATTTGTATTATATGAAATAAAAAATTTTACAATAATTTAAATTTATCTGATTTTTTAGTAAAAGATTCGTTTAAAAATTTCTGAAAAAGAATATTGTTGCTCTTATGTAAAAGTGCAATTAATTTTCAACTATCACATTCATGGTAATGTATATAAATTTTATAAATATTAAAATTTTTCATTTAAAAACAAATCATTTATCATTATTTATACATTATTAATTGAAAATTTTTTTATAAGATAAGTAAAAAATAATTTAAAGTATTTTTAATTTAATATTATTATAATAATATTATCATAATAATATTATATTATAAAACTTTATATTGCAACTAATTACATAAATTTTATTTCAAGGTATTTAATCAACAGTATTAAGAGATACAGATATAAAAAGAAAAAAAATATGAATAAATAAAAAAAATTTATTTAATCTCAAAAAATGGCAAACAATTTAAATTCAATTTGTGAAGAAAAATCTACACGATTTTTACAAATTCCTTTAAAATCAACTGAACAAATTTATTTAATCTTTTTAATTCCAACAATTATTACTTGTATAGTATATATAATTCATTTTTCTGCTGATTTAGTAGTTGCTATTCAACATTTCAAAGAAAATAATATAATATGGGCTTGTTGTACCATTACTTTCATGTATGCACCTGCAATTGCATATTTTATATTAACTGTTTCAAGACCAGATTGGTGGATGTCAAATGATGATAAATTAACAAAGAGTATCTTTTGTTGGTTTTGTCTTCAATTTTGTCAGTTGGTGGGCTTTGTTCTTTTTGCTCTTTATAGGTATTAATATTTTTTATTTAAAATTAATAATAATACTAACAATTTTCATTAATATAATTTCTAATTTTTTCTAGGTATGCAGGTCTTATAGTATTATGCATTGAAGCTATTATTTTAACAGGAAAAGAGAGAACAGAGACTTTAAATATAGCAGCTACACCTGCAGCTATAGAATTGTATTTTTTTTTACAAGCATGGTTTCAAGCAGCTCCTCAAGCTCTTTTTCAAACACATTTACTTTTTCGTGAAACATCATTTCATCAGAGTCATCAATCTGGTATAATATTAATTTATTATAAAATGTACAATATAATTTTAATTAAATTATAAATATGAACTATTAAAAAATTTTTTTTATAGTAGTTGTAAAGGTGCTTTCTATTAGTATGTCTATTGTAATACTTGCTATTCAAACTACCTCATTTCAAAGATTTGAAAGTCAACGTATTAATGGTAGAAAATTACCATGGGCAATGTGGTTAAAAAAATATTGTGTTCAGGTATTTTAATATAAAATATTATTAAATATAATTATGCTTATAATATATTAAAATAGTTTATTCTTCTAAAATATTTATTTAAATTTTACAATTAGGAATTTTGTGATTTTGAAGAAAGAGCTCCTTTAAAACTATCAAATGTAAGAAAAAATAGTACTTTAGAGAATTCTCTAGAACAAAAAGAATCTATACAAGTTCAACATGAAGATAAAGAGCAATGTGACCATATTTCTCTTGATCGTCAAGTATCTATAACACCTCCTTTACCACCTAAAAATGTATATATTACACCACCTCCAACTCCTTTACGTGGAATTACTACAGTTATACCTTTGCCTATACCAGATGTACCAGCTCCACCAAGACCAGATTCTATTTGTACAGTTATAGAAAACTCAGATTCTGAAAAATCATTTACTAAGAAAGTATCTGTTGCAGCAACAAAAAAAAATAATAATATCATACAAAATTTAAAAGTTCCTCAACGAAAATATTCAACAAAAGGTTTAGAAGAAGATGATCCTATAGGAAAATTTTTAAGTTTTTTATGGTGGTTTTTTTTTATTCTAGCACGGATACTTACTATTGCTGTATTCTATGAATTTTTTCCACTTTACTTATCCATTGTGCTTAGTTTACATTATGGTATTATGTTAATATATCTTTTTTATTATACAAAATATTATGACATTATTACTTTTTTTCTTAATCTATGGTTAGGATTAGTGTATATAATTAGTTTAATTGAATACAGAATTAAATTTAAATATGCAGATAAATGGGTATTACCATATTACATTTTTGTATTAATGCAAAATATGTTTTTAACATTATCTTGGTATTTCTATTCAGATTGGGATGGATTTTGGTATACTTATGTATTTTATGTAATATTTGGAAGTATGACATTATGTATTTTATCAACTATAATTTATTGTGTTTTATTTAAACCAAAGAAACATAGGATATATACAAGCTGACAAATGCATAAAACTTTTTCATGGTAAAATATTCATTAAAATGTGATTTTACAAATGCTTTAATTTTTATATATTATATGAACATGATTTTGTTTCATATTTATACAAATTATTACATATGAAATAGAAAATTTATTAAAAATTTATTGATGAACAAAACAATGAAATAATTGACACAATTAAAATTTATATAATTACAATTTTTAAATGTAAAACAAGAAATTAAGGAATTAATAATTAGATAATACATCAAAAATATATTTATCATATCTTATAAATTAAATAACTATATTTATATGAAACATTCATAGAAAAATCTATTTAAAAAACTTTTACAAATAGTTACTAGATATGGCAGCATATTCTTTTATCTATGAATTTTATATAATGTTATTTACACTATGTATTTATATACAGAAATACATTATTGTTCCAAAAATAAGCAACAGTCTTCTAGCTCAAAATAAATAATCGCTATTTTCATATTTTTATTTGAAGTCATTCGCAAAGTGAAAAATCCATAAAAATAAGAAACCATAAATTTTTATGACCAAATAAACAATATTATATAATAAAAGAATAGAATGTGTAATGCTTCTCTTCTGGCAATTTTTTTGTGAATATATATATATATATTCCGAAGTAGAAATAAATTTATTCAACCAACTAATTGTTCATTATATATTACATATATCAAAAATATTTTTAGAAATTTTCTTAAATATTATTAATGTTAAAAATATTTTATTTTTTATTTTCTATCAATATGATTTTTACATAAATTAATGTATTGAAGACATAAAGAAAGATTTAATATTTTAAAAGAAATTTTAAAATAAAAAAAAATATACAAGATCATATCAGACTTTCGCATCATCACGAAATTTGTATTTTCAATATCTCCAATTGAAATTGTTCTTTAACTATATATATATAATATTTATAAAATGTTAAAATAATCATTAAAAAATAAGAATAAAAGAATATGATACTAAATTAGTAAAATGAAGCATATTTTATTCATATGATTTTATATCTATTCGGAATCGCCAGAGTGAGAAGATATATCATGTTTTGTTTTTTTTTAAATAATAATTTTTAAATATTTATTATTCGATCAAATCATTTATCATTGATTTACTATTATCTCAAGATTTTTGAAAATAAAAGTAAACTTGAAAAAAGTATTAATAATATACTTGATCATAATAAACAACTGGTCCCAAATAATTTGCTTATTTCGGAACAATATTGTATACATGATCCCAAGCGACTTACTTATTTTGGAACAATACTGCAATAATATGAATACTTATTAGTATTAAAATATGTATATTATATATTTTCATCTTTAAGATTTTATATATTAAATTTAAATACTTATCATTTTATATAGAATCGATATTTATTTTCACGATATTCGTGACATAAACTAAAAAATATATAAAATAGATCACATTATTTTGTATCTAACTGCTTAGCCTTAGTAGAAAATTACTAATTATTATATAAAGTACAATAAGATAATATCAATGAACAAATATTAATAAATGTAATTTGATAAAAAATATATGATCCCTTATACATTCATTCATATATATTCACATTATCTACTTACATCCAATCCTTATCTACATATCCTAATCTATAAAATATTTTTTTCATACATGTATATTAGAATCTCTATGAAGATTTCCTAATTGTGCTTCAAATAAAATATCATTTAATAATTTTTCAGCTATAATTCTCTGATCTAATCTCATATTTCTAAGTTTTGCTGCAACATTTCTTCCAATTGCATCAAACTCATCTTCCATTACAAATGAATTATTATGTGATATTTTTAAAAGATCAGAACATTCAGCTTCTTCTAATTTACGTCTACGAATTATTGGACTTTCAGACCATTCACTAGACTGATCATATGCTTCTTCATTTCCTGGTTGCCAGTCATCCTAAATAAATATAAGTTCTTAAACTTTTAGAAAGTTTATCTTTTTGAATCACTATTTTAATTTTTAAAATTAAAATAATCACTATTTTAAAATTTTTAAATTTTAATTATTCTTGTTATATAAAATTGATATACTTACTGTTTTGTAACATTTTCTATATCTTCTTTTAGTTCTTACTATTTCTGGGCATTTATCTGCTGATAAATCAATATATATCATTGCAGGTTTTCTTTGATTAGATTTACATTTTATTTTATCAACCATAAAAGGATGTACTCTCTGTAGAATACTTAGATTAATGAATATAAAATAATTATTTCAAAATTCAAATATTCTAAAAATAAATAAATCTTACTTTGATATGACTTAAAAAATTTCCAGTAGATTTTAAATTTCCATTTAAATGTTTTTGACATTGTAAACATCGAACTGTTACATTACTGTCTTCTACTCTAATTACAGTAAAGAATTCTCCATCAAGTATGGCAGGTAATCGAATTGGAGTAAGAGTCATACTTTGTTGAGTATTAGATTGTAATTGTGAGATTTGATTAGGTTGATCTTGTTGATGTTGCTGTTCAGATTCATGTTGTGGCTGATGTAAACTTGAAGTTTCATGATTTTCTTGATTCTCAACTTCAACTGTTTGAGAAGATGCCTGTCCATTGACTGTTTCAGATATTTCTCTCTGTTGATTTGCAGCATCAATCATGCATGTATCAAAACTTTGAATCTTTGTTTCATACCTTTGTGTAGAAAATGTATCCATGATTTTATAATTCATGCAAATTTACTCTAATATAAGAGTACATTAAATAAGAAGCTCAGCAATTTATACAAATTGTACATGAATAACTATTTAAATGTCTAAAAAAAATAAGGAACCATTATTTGTACTGACAGTGAAAAAATACTATTATAATATTAAAATACTATTATTAATCTTGCTTTCTTATTGAATTTCAGATAAGATGCTAGATAAGAATATTACATATATAATAAATCTAGATCAGATAATAGATAAGAGAATATAGTATAGAACTACAATCTAAGAAAATTTCAGTAACTACCAACCAACCTTAGAAAATATGGCTACAATGACAATGTGTAAATTTCTTGTATAATACAAAATATTCTTACAATGACAAAGTGTTTGTTACATTTCTTGAAGTAGCGCAGATATATAATTGTTTGAATTCAATAAAAGTTCATTATTTTGGAAGCTATGGTAAGAATAAAGCATGCATGTATAAAATCAAATACTTGGCAGCACTGTAGTAAATAAAGTTATCAATAAAATTTTATAACAATTTAAATAAATTTATAATAATATATATTTATAATAATAACGAATAACGTGAATAACGTGAATTTCTATTTTTTACTTAAATAATGATATTTAAAAAGAAAGAAAAGCATTACATGGAAAATATATTTATTATAAACAAGCTCAAATATAAAATAAAAATAACAAAAATAATTAAATAAATATTATTTTTTAAGAAATTAAATTATATATAGAAAAATTTTTATTCTGTTCATTTTATTTCATATTTAATTAAAAATAAATAAATTAATAAAAATATTATTTAATTTTGAATAATTTAAAATAAAAAAATTCATGCATATTGCATATTATTAATAAATTCTATACTTCACATTATCAAATATTATATTAATAAGAAAAATTCAGTTAACCTTTATAATTTACAGGGTATTTTTGTAAAATAATGTTGTCAGCATTGATAATATATGTTCATTATGTTGGAAATATGTAAGACATTGAAAAATAAGTACTATTCATATTAAATGTGCATATTTTACGAACAATTTGTTTTTATTTGAATATATTTGATTATAATGATTTTTTATTATTATAAGTGTGTGTAATATAATATTTATTAAAAAAATAAAGCATCTAATTACAATATAACAGAATTTAATAGTAAAACGAGATTATTTTTACAAAAATATGTCTCTATCTTGTTCTGGAGAAATGAATGAGACCAAAGAAAAACAAGATAAGTTATTTTCAAAAAAAAACCTTGAAGAAGAAATACTTAAATCAAACTCTTCTAAATCTAAAGAATTTTCTAAAAAACGAAAAAGAGAAAATGAAACAGATGATACAAGCTATTTAGAAACTAAACGCTCTCAAATTCGGAAACATTCTCCAGATCCAAAATCATCTAAAAGTGAAAAACATGATATTGAAAAAAATGTAAATGTAAATATTATATTGTATATATGTTACAAATTTCTGAATTATTTTATTTATTATTTAAATCATTTTTTAAATTTATATATTATAGATTAATAATACTTCATCAGATTTACATATCAATAATAGTGAAAAGATAAAAGAATCATCAAGCAAAAAAATACACAGTGATAATACATTATTAGTTGTAGAACATTATAATTCAGTAGAAAATAAATGTGCTGCTCTTAGAGATAAAAGCAGAATTTTATATATGAGGAATTTTAATAATTGGATAAAAAGCATGCTTATATGTAAGTTTTTAATTTATAAATAATTTTTGTATAACAATTTTTGATTTGAAAAATTATTTACAGTTGAATATATTAATAAAACTCATGGACGTAATTTAAAAGTATTAGATATGTGTTGTGGTAAAGGAGGAGATTTATTTAAATGGAGAAAAATGAATGCAACACATTTAATTTGTACTGATTTAGCTGAAGTAACTATGCAACATTGTCAAGATCGATACAAAGAAATGTTAAAACGAAATTCTGAAGAAAAAAGATGTTCTCCTATATTCACTGCTGAGTTTATAACAGCTGATTGTACAAAGGTATTTCTTTTATTTATTTTATTAAACTTTCTAAAAAAGTAATTAATAAGCTAATAAAATAAAAAATAAAAATTAATATTTTAAAATTATACATCCATATTAATGAATTCATTCTATATTTTGTCAATAGAAATTAATTATAAAGAAAATTTTCAGGATCATTTAAGAAAAAAATTCAAAGATCCTAGTATATCACTTGATTTGGTTAGTTGTCAATTTGCATTTCATTATTGCTTTGAATCATTAGAACAAGCAGAATGTATGATTAAAAATGCAAGTGAATGTTTAAAACCAGGAGGTCATTTTAT